TGTGTTTGTGTCTGAGTGTGCATGTGTGTATGTGTGGGTGCGTGCATGTGTGCGTCCGTATGCGTGTGTGTGTTTGCGTGTGTAAGCGGGTGTGTGTGTGTGTGTGGACACACTCACTAAGAAGCTCCGCCCCCTCCAGGCTCTGCAGGAGAAGCTGTGGAACATGGCCGTCCCACTGTGCCTCAAGCAGAACGTCACCGCCACGGCAGCAGCCCAGCAGGTCACACACACACACACACACACACACATATAGACACGCACAAAGACACACACACAAACAAAAACGCACACACACATACAGACAGACAGACACACACACACAGATACACACAGACACGCACACACACAAACAAAAACGCACAAACACACACAGACAGACAGACACGCACACACACACAGATACACACAGACACACACATATAGAGACACGCAGACACTCCTGTACGCACATACAGGCACTCAAAGACACACACAGACTTAGACACACACACACAGACACACGTGCACACACACACGCATACACGCATACACACGAGCACACACAGATACACAAAGACACACACACACAGACACACACAAACACACACAGACATAGACACTTACAGACACACACAAAGACACACACTTACAGACACACTCAGACACAAACACATACAGACACACACGCACACAGACACACACAGATACACACAGAGACACACATACATAGACACACACACACACACTCACAGACAGACACACACACACACACACACCCGGCTGATTCTAACTGTTTGTGTGATCCAGATCCTGGAGGAGACCTATAAGCTGGAGTTCCTGTACCGGGGCCTGGGCAGCCGGCAGGTGGCCTCCGTTCATCACGTCCGCCTACAGGCCAAAGCCCTGCAGCTGGTGCTGAGGGCCCGGTCCAGACAGGGGTCAGACTCACACACACACACAGATACACAGACACACACACAGACAGAGACAGAGGCACGCAGACATACACACACACACATGCACAGATACATACAGACATACAGACACAAACACACACACACACAGATACAGACACACACACACAGACACTCAGACACACACAGATACACACACACATAGATACACACACAGATACAGACACACACACAGACACAAATACAGACACACACACATAGACACACAGACAGATACACACACGCACACAAACACACAGATACAGACAGACACACAGACAGATACACACACACACAGAAAGACACACAGACATACAGAAACACACATATACAGACAGACACATTCCGACACTCACAGATACACACAAACACACACATATACAGACACACACACAGATACACGTAGACACTCCTGTACGCACATACAGGCACTCAAAAACACAGACACACACTCACAGACACACACACACAGATACACAGGTACAGAGATAAATATGCACACATAGACACACAGACACACATACACACAGACACACACACACTCACAGACACACGTACACATCCACTCCTGCATGTACAAACAGACACACGCACATATAGACGCACACACTCACACAGACACACACACTCAGTCACACTCACGCGCACACTCACAGACACACACACATTTGTGCGCACACGTCTCCACCCTGTCCCCTCCCGTCTCTTCAGGCTGGACCCTCTGATCAGCAGCTGTGAGAAGTTCCTTCAGGAGGTGGAGGCCTTTCAGAGGTAAAGCTCCCACAGGCCGCCTTTTAGTCCCCCTCAGGGACCCCCCCCCCCCCCCCCCTAACAGCCCCCTGCCCCCCCCAGGCTGTTCCTGAGCGAGCTGCCCCACCTCCGGGACAGCTTCGTGGAGAAGCTGCTGGAGCTCATGCCCCGGCTGGCCTCCTGCAAGCCGGCGGAGCTGGTGAAGATCCTCCAGACCACGCTGAGGCAGAGCGGCCTGCTGCAGCTGCGCCTGCCCGAACAGGTGGGGGGGGGCGGGGGCGGGGGGTCCAGAAGAGTAGGGCTGTCAAAAGTATTATACCACCCCCACTCTATCCGATTTATTTATTTATTTATGTTGTTTATGATCATTAACGTGACGTTAGCCTTTAATTGCTAGCTGC